GTATTGTTTGGGTATTGCGCGAGCTATACTCGGGTATTACTCGAGTATTGCGCGGGTTTTACCCAAGTATGACCGTATGAAATATGCATGTATGTACATATTTATGTGTTTGTACGTGCATGTGTTGTTTGCAATTATGCGCAAACATGTGTATATGTATGTAGGTATTTTAAATAAAGAGGTACAGAATGAAAAGAAAACATATGTATACATATATTTATTTTTATATTATGATATTTAGCATGATTTTATTTCTTAAAAAAGGAGCTCAAATATCTTTTAAAAAAAAGGAAAATAATTCATTTATATTATTTTATAGCATATTATTATATTATAGCATAACTTTTTCTAATTTAAATAAAAAGGAAGGTATTTCTTTTCGCTAATAGTTTTGTTGGCTTCTTTAATTTATATGCATTTACATACTTGTATACGAAGTTACTATTTAACTAATAGCCGAAAAAACAATAGAAAATGCAAGTGCACGTGCACCCGCCGATATCATTGGTCATTTCGGTCATGCGGGCATAATTGTAAATACGACGTTCGATCATTTCGGTCACCGCCGCTCATTCTGAGTCTTTGCATTTGTGAGTCGAACTGGCTTGTTGGTGAGCGTTCGTTCACAACCGGTCATTGCTTGCATTCATGCAAGAAGTTTCGGGCACAACCGCTCACTTCTGAGTTTTTGCAGTTGTGAGTCGAACTGACTGGTTGGTGAGGGTTCGTTTAAAACCAATCATTGCTTGCATTCATACAAGAAGTTTCGGGCACAACCGCTCACTTCTGAGTTTTTGCAGTTTTGATTCGAACTGAGTGTTCGTTGAGGGCTCGTTCGCAACCAGTCATTGCTTGTCACTATACCCAAATGAAATAATCATACCGAGTATGGGTAAATACTCGAGTATGACCAAAAATGTAGTACTCGTAGCAGTTCTCTGAGACTTATGAACATCAAATTTTAGTCCAAGATGCCTTATATGAATACGCAGAAAATGTGTATTCCCCTCTCCCGCGCAAATCGTAACTAACGTAATTCTTGGAATTTTGAACTCAAATTTTACAAATACCCAGTTAGTGATTTTGTGTCCGAATGCCAAGTTTCATGATAGACCGATTTAACAAGAAGTTATAGCCATAAATATATTTGCTGCCAACGCGCTGCCCGCAGCTGTTGTTGATGCTGGTGCTTTGGTTGACTGCAAACATGTTTACACAGACACGAATAGACGCGCTTAGACATTCATACACTCACATTGATGCAATTGCTTTGTATATGTGCAATTATGCAATTATGTATTATGCAATTACACCCTGACTTCGAATACCGAGGTAAAATCAATAAACATTTTTTTTTTAATTTTCTTAATTTTTATACCCTGTACCCAAAGGGTACAAGGGTATATTAGTTTTGTGCGAGTGCACATGGAACACACAGAAGGAGGCTTGGTAGACCCCACAAAGTATATATATTCTTGATCAGCATGACAAGCCGAGTCGATATAGCCATGTCCGTCTGTCTGTCCGTCTGTCTGTCCGTCTGTCTGTCTGTATGAACGCAAGGATCTCCGAAAGTATAAGAGCTAGAATAACCAATATACAGTATACAGATTCTCCTGAGACCGAGAAAGGACGAGTTTGTTAATTTTTTCTGATCCGCCCCCCCACTCCCCCCCTATTACTGATTTTCTATACCTCCCGTAATTCTTGGAATTTTGAACTAAAATTTGGTAGTCACATTAGGTTAGTAATTATATATCCGTATACCAAGTTTCATTATGATAGAATGATCGGAAAGAAAGTTATAGCCATATAACCAGGCCCAATGCACACATACATACATATGTACAAGTACACAAACACGCATAAGGCACGATTCTGATGTAAATGTAAATGTATCTATGCATGCATGGAATATTTTATATTTAATTTAGTTAATTAATTAAATTAATTTAGTTAATTAATTAAATTAATTTAGTTAATTAATTAAATTAAATTAATTAATGAAATAAATTAAATTAATTAATAAAATTAATTTAATTAATTTTTTGTGGGGTGGTACAGGGTATTTAAGAGTTGAGCCTGCTCGACTTTAGCATTCCTTTCTTGTTTTTTTTCTATAATTATTGTAAGCATCTTTAGCTTTTTTACTTGTTTGAGCATATTTTTGTGGATATTTTAAAAGGTTTGAGACGGTTCCGATGCTTGTTTATTGCTTTAGCAATTACACATAATCCATAATCAGCCATAGTTTTAGTAATTATTTTATTTTCTGTGCTTTACTCGTTTTCGCGGGGCATTTTAAACAATTATTAATTTAAAGTTCGCTTTTAATAAGCCTCCAATAAACCTTCTTAACAATTCAATTTTTTTCTGGAGATAATAAGTGTGGTTCAGACTTAAAGTGTAAAAGGATAAAATGCACATTTATCAATTTGCTATGAAATGCATGAGCTGGTGTTCTTTTAAATGCTAACGGTACTTGGAGTTAAGAGCTGATAAGAAACGAACGTATGAGAAAGCAACACAAAGTAAAAGAGAAAACAAGAGAGAACGCTAAAGTCGAGCAAGCCCGACAGTAAAATAGCCTGTACTCTCCACAAAAAAGAAAAATTAAAAGAAAAAATGTTTTTTCTTAATTAAATTTACATCACGTGCCTATGCGTGTATGTATGCAGCACAAAGTTGAACCAAAGCAGCAACAACAACAGCTGCGGGAGGCGCTGCCGGCAGAGGTGCAGGCAGCGCATGGGCAGCGATTTTATTTATGGATATAACTTTCTTCAGAATTGACCTATCATGATGAAACTTGGCACACGGACATTATCACTAACTGAATGTTACTACCAAAATTGATTTCAAAATTCCGAGAATTACGGATTTAAAAAAAAAAAAAACAGGAATTGCGGGGGAGTGGAGGGGGGGGGGTGTATAAGAATAAAAAAATAAACTTGACCTGTCTAGGACTTAGGGGAACCTCGATACCAAGTTTGGTTATTCTAGCTCTTGTACTTCCTGAGATCCTTGCGCTCATACAGACAGACGGACGGACGGGTGGACGGACAGACGGACATGGCTATATCGACCCGTCTTGTCATCTTGATCAATAATATATATACTTTGTGGGGTCTGCCACGCCCCCTTCTGTGTGTTACATACATGCGCACAAAACTAGTATAGCCTTTCACCCTTTTGGTACAGGCTATAAAAATTATATACAAAAAACATTAAAACATATATTAAAATAACGGTTATATCGCAAACAAATTTTGCACATATATCAATTTTACTGCCGTATAAGTGTCTGTAAATTTCTTGGCCATCGTTTTATGAACCCAAGTACACCATTGGCTTTATTTACAATGCTAGAGATGTGAAGATTGAAGTTCAATTTTGAATCAAAAAGAACCCCAAGGTCTTCAACAGTCGATATACGCTGCAATGACACATTGTCAATCGTATATGTGACTAAAAGGGGCAAAGCTCGTGAACGTTCATTTAGAGCAATTGAGGTGCAAGTGGTTTGCTAAGCACCAAGACTGCATGCAGTTCAGATCAGTGCTGCCATTTTTTAATTTAAAAAAAAGCTGTAAATTTACAAGTATAGAAAAAAACCTGAAAAAAAGCGGTCATGGTTTTGCCAATTTATTTGTTGTAAGGTGATATTTACATTAAATCATTCAGTTCTGCGAGGTTCGCATTTGTACGACAAAATCGGGAAAACCCCCCATAGGGGGAAGTGGGGGGGAAATCAAAAAAATAAAACAAACATGCACAGCGTACACACATAACGCAGCTTTGTGCAAAGTTTGGTGTCTCTAGCTCTTATAGTCTCTGAGATCCAGGTGTTCATACGGACAGACAGACAGGGCTAGATCGACTCGTGTCGTCATGCTGATCAAGAATATATATACTTTGTGGGGTCTGCCACGTCTCCTTCTACCTGTTACATTTTCAGCTCCCGCAAACCTAATATACTCTTGTACATTTTATGTACTCCCTCCCTCCCCCCTCTCCCAGTTATTATTTGCTGGGGAGAGGGGGGAGGGAGGAAAATTCCAAAATATACATTTTCTGCGTATCGGGAAAACCCCCATAGGGGGGAAGTGGGGGGGGGGGAATCAAAAAAATAAAACAAACTCGTATAGAATACACACATAAGGCATCTTTGTGCAAAATTTGGTGTCTCTAGCTCTCATAGTCTCTGAGATCTAGGTGATCATACAGACGGACAGACGGACAGACAGACGTGGGGTCTGCCACGCCTCCTTCTGCCTGTTAAATTTTTCAGCTCCCGCAAACCTAATATACTCTTGTACATTTTATGTACAGAGTAAAAACATCAAATATCTCTTACAGAGAACCTCTGACCTAATAAAGAATAAAAAAAAATCTGAAAATGAAGAAAAAATCATTAAAATAATAATATCCAAAATAAATTTTACTCATTCTTAGTAACTCATAGCAAAAAGGATGGTGTATGTGTGTTAAGTGTGTATGTATAACACATACACAAAATGAATGTATAATTTTTAAAATTTTTATAAAAATAACCCTACGAAGCAGGGGCCAGACGCTAGTAATATATAATTATATTATTTTATTGAGCCGATCGGCCAATATTATCCTAATGCCAATATTAAATTAAATAATTTATACGAACAAGTGATGTATGTATTGAATTGTTATATGACTACAATTTGTTGTTATTTCTTTATGATTTACTTGTTAATATACTATACTTAATAATACAAATAATTTAAAGTAATTAAAACACCATTTTATACATTTTTTACCTAACTTTATTTTTGAGAAAGCACTAGTATTATTTTGATCACAGCTGTATGTACTTGTATGCATATTTGACTAAGTGCAGTATGTCCGCGAATATTTTCAAATAATATTTAAGAAAGTTCATGTCGTAAATATTGTGTGTTTTATTATATAACTTCTACACGTATATTATGTCTAACTGTTTCTTTTCAATTACGTGCTTTCAGTTAAACGTAACAAACAGGGAGATTGTCATTTATACATTGGAAAACACAACCCACACTTTAAAGTTGTTCAAAATATCTATGAAACAAATTCCAAATCATTGAAGGAACTTACTGTAACATTAGATGGAATGTGCGGAATACTATTAATGTCGGAACTCAACACTTGTTTACAAGGGTATGTATATAATTACTAATTAACAATACATATACAGCCGACGGCATAAGTATTTTGACATGAAAACTACGATACGATTTTGTTTATAACTTTTTAAATGGCCTCCCTTGGCAGTTATAACTGTTTGCAGCCGTCCGGGAACCGAATTGACCAAAGTTTGGACATAGTCCAACGGAATATCCTTCCAGAGTGCTCCTACCTCAGAAATTGTATCCTCGCGCGTCCTTGTTAAATTCGCACATCGTTTTTGCTTAATATAAGCTCATAGATTTTCAATTATATTTAAATCTTGACTTTGGGGTGGCCAATCCAGCGTGCTAACCTGAACTTCATTCAAAAAATTTGTTATTAATTTTGCTTTATGGCACGGCGCGTTATCCTGCTGAAAAATAAAGGACTCTCCGATCAATTTGTCCCCAGAAGGAAATGCGTGACCATTTAAAACATTTAAGTATTTGCCCTTATCCATGATCCACGTGATTCTCTTGAAATGCCCATTGGCTGATCACCTAAGGGTATAGTAGTTTAGGGGGAATGCATAGATCACATATAATGAGGCGTGAAGGACCTGCAAAGAATTTATTATTTATTTATCATTTATCAGTATGACAAGATAAGTCGTTACAGTCATGTCCGTCTATATAAACGAAAGGATCTCAGAAAGGACAAGAGGGAGAATAATCAACCTTGTTTGGAGCCGTCTTCTGCTAGCAGTCGGAAAGTTAGAAAGCAGTTTTAAAGCATGAAAGGAATGCTAGAATCGAGGAATACCTTGTACTCACTCCCAAAAAATCAAAAAATATTTAAAAAATTAATTTAAAAAATTTAATTTATTTAATTAATTAATTAAATTAAATAAAAAGTATTCAATACATATAGTACATACATGTGATCTTGTGTATCATAGAATGTTTATTATTGATAACGATACCAAGATATATGATATAGTTTAAAATAGGAATATAATGTAAAATGATGATGGCGAATATTAGCATATGCAGCTAATGCACTCTGTAGTGCGGCTGACAACTTACTACTGACAACTAAGTACATTTCTACTGACTGCTTAAAACCAAAATGACTACCTAGTACTGATGGCGATGCTGCTTCTAGGTGTTCCGCCATTCTCACTATCCTGCCTTCCCATCTTACATTCGGCCATCCTGTACTAGTCATCGGCACATTGCGCACTTCATATCGCCCGTTACGTATAATTTTTGTAATTTCATATGGTCCCAGATAGCTGCTGGCTAGCTTTCTTCCAGCTACGAATTGTGTTCGGCGGATTGCGACTAGGTCACCCAATTTATAACCATATTCGTTCTTCCGCTTTTTATCGAACTGCTTTTTGTATCTTTCCTGTGCTCTCTGTATGTCCTCCTTCGCTGCGCTCCTCTCTCGACGGGATGAAGAAAGCCTTCCTTTTTACCCAACTGTTTGTTGTGGACAATACATTTAATACAATTGGCGATAACATGAGCAACTTTTCCTTCCAAATGTGGTATCCAATATGTTTGCTTGATCAAGTGCGTTTGAAAATTTATATTATTTTATATAAATTATTAAAAACAAAGAAAGATTGGGACGCTTGCTTTTAATTTTAACTTTAATATCGAAAATGACGAAACGATACGGTGGCGATTGTGCTTCTATTTAGTTCTATTTACAACTAACTTCAAAATTCGGCTTACATGCTAAACTAAGCCTAAGACGGCGAAAAAAGGGCGCGAAGCGACGGGCAATGGCGCCAGCCGGTGAATCGCCCTTCGGAGATTGCCGCTACTCGTGGCGACGTCGGCCACCCGCACCTTCCCGTCTGTCCCGGCGTGAGTTGTGGTGACCCTGCCAAGTACCCACTTTTTTGGCGGCACGTTGTCTTCGGCCACCACGACGAGTTGTCCCACGACGACGTTGGGTTCGTCCTAGAACCACTTCGCTCGCACCTGGAGGCTCGAAATGTACTCCCGGGACCATCGCTGCCAAAACCTGTGCTTGAGACACGAGGCATTGCGCCATCGCCTTAAGCAGGTTTGGCTGTCGATGTCCGGGAGCGGTGGAGCTGGAGTCGCCAGAAGAGGCCGCCCGATTAGAGAGTGGCCCGGGGTTAGCGCCTTGCCGTCGCTGGGGTCCGCGCTGAGTGGTCCCAGTGGCCGAGAGTTCAGCACCGCCTCGACGCTCGCCAGGAGTGTTCCGAGCTCTTCTGCGGTCAGGAGCGCATTGCCCACCGTCCGTGGGAACAGGTGCTTTGCAGACTTGACACCTGCCTCCCATAGACCGCCGAAGTGAGGTGCTCTGGGTGGTATGTACGCAAACTCGCATCCTTTTCTTGATGCGAATTCGCGTACGCCTTCCGCCTCCTTCTCCCATCTCGCTCGGAACTCCTGCAGCTTCCTGTCGGCTCCCACGAAGTTCGTTGCGTTGTCGCAGTAAACTTTGCGAGGAACGCCTCTCCTGCGACGAACCTTTCAAAAGCCAAGAGAAAAGCATCAGTGGTTAGATCTGACACAAGCTCTAAGTGAACCGCTTTCGAGGCAAAACAAACGAAAAGAGCCACGTACGACTTGTACGGTGGCTTGCCACGGATGCGAAGCGTTGTGCTTATTGGGCCACAAAAATCAACACCACATACTTCGAACGGGTGGAACGGCTGGAGCCTGTCTGCCGGAAGATTTCCCATTACTTGGGAGGCCAACCGGGGCTTCCATTTGAAGCAGAGGATGCACGAACGTACTGTTCGGCGACACACTTCCTGAGCGTTAACCAGCCAAACTCGCTCACGAAGCAGGCTCACCAGCGATCTAGGGCCAGCATGGCAATTTGACACATGCAAATAAGATACGTACGATCTTATGAATTGCGACTTTTTAGAAAGCAACAACGGAAACTTGGCTTCGTACGGGATAGGAGCATTTAATAATCTTCCCCCCACTCTCAGCAAGGAAAACAAGAAACCGTCTTCTCTAAACTCATGTAGAAATGGACTGAGACGCTGTAAGTTAGCGTTAAGTGTTCTCTTTTTTCGAACCTTGTCGATTTCGTCACCGAACTCATTGTCCTGGATGACTTGAACCATTTTGTTGAATACCAAATTGAGTTCGCTTGGCTTGGCTATAGGATCAAAGGGCTTCGAGACCTTTCTGCACCTTTGTAAAAATCGAAAAACCCAACCGAACACCCTCAGCAATTTTGAATGTGACGAGTAGCTTTCGATAACTTCGAGAATATAATTGGCTTGCCGATCTGCGAGTAAAACTACAGCAGACTTACGAATTTCTAGGGCAGCTGAATTTTTAGGCGGCTCGAAGTGAGCATTCACAGGCCAATTTTCTTCCGATTCCATGAGGAAGGCTGGCCCTGTAAACCAAATGGAGCTACGCAACTCGACTACATTACATCCTTTGGACACGATGTCTGCTGGGTTGGATTTCGTTGGGACATTTCGCCACGTTGCATTCTCGGACCACTCTTGGATTTGAGAAACCCTGTTTGAAACGAAAACTGACCATGCCGACGGATGCGACTTGATCCAGTGGAGCGTTATTTCCGAGTCAGTCCACATAACTATCTTGTCTATTGGAAAATTAAGCAACGGGCGGACTTGACGAAAAAGATCTGCGAGAAGGTGAGCTGCACACAGCTCAAGACGAGGCAAAGTTTTCGTCTTGAGTGGAGCTACTTTGGATTTTGAGGTCAAAAGTGACACTTTCCAACCATTCGCAGTCGAAACACGAACATAAATACAGGCGCCATAAGCTCGCATTGAGGCATCGGCGAACGCATGTATTTGAATGGGTGACTGCGTATCTGTATGGACGAATCTAGGGACTTGAATACCGCTGAGGTTCAACAAATTCTGCTTAAATGAGTCCCAAACTGTATGAAGCTTCTCAGGGATGGATTCATCCCAATCTAGTTTTTGTAGCCACAAATCTTGCAGCAACATTTTTGCTTTGGTGATCAGCGGGCAAAGAAGGCCCAGACCTGCCTGCCTGACACTATCCAGCCGAGAAGCGTTTTTTGTAATGTGGGAGACTCAGGGCCTTGCTTTATTTGGCCTACCGACAATAAGTCGAAGAATGACTCTGCTCCAATTAGCATATCAATTTTTTGCGGTTTATGGAATTGAGGATCGGCCAATTGAATATTTTTGGGGACCCTCCACCCGCTGGTGTTCACCGCTTGATCGGGGTGATAACCAGAAATCGATCCCAAGATCCAAAAATCCGCGGAAAACTCGCTACAATTGACACGCGACTTCACCACTGTATGAATTCTTTTCTTGGCACGCGCATTGGTGTCTCCAATGCCGCGCAAGACCATACACGTATCCTCTCGTCTGAGCTGTAGCTTTTGAGCTAGATCCTCAGTCACAAAGTTGACTTGTGACCCAGAATCTAACAATGCTCTTGCTAAAACGAAATCGCCACTTTTCGTTTTAACGCTCACGACTGCTGTTGCAAGAACCACTCTATCCGAAGCAGTCGCATGCATGGCATGCGATGTGGAAGAGCTATCTTGAAGATGTGGTGGCTGAGAGGGTGGTGGTAACGCAAGATTTGTGCTAGCAGTATAAATATGTAGCAGTGTGTGATGAGAACGTTGGCACACGCTACATTTCTTTGCCTTACACTTCGCTACCGTGTGGCCTCGTCGAAGACAGTTTATGCACAAACGCGCACCTTTAGCGAAGTCAAACCTTTGCTGCACTGACAAGGCAATATATGCCTGGCAATTGCCAATCGAATGGTCAGCTGAATTGCAAAACTGACAAAGGTTATTCTGTTCGTTTTTGGCAGCAACGAACGAATGATTTATCCTGCTAGCATTTTTGACTTGTTGAGTCTGAGTGTTATTGCTCGACTGGCTGCCCTTCGCTTGAGCTTTACTAGCTTCTTCAGCAACAATATGCTGGTAGCGTCTGTTAAGAGCAGTCTCACAATCTCGCCATAGTGGGAGCGTTGTGTAGTCGAGCTGCTCTTTCCGCTTCTTTTTTGTGGTAG